TGTGCGTGTGAGTGTGGGGGTGTGTGCGTGTGGGGGTGTGCGCGTGGACAATGCGGGGTTCCAAAGGCAGCTGCTGCCGTTCTTTTGAAGGGCCAAAGGGCCTTTAAATCCCAGACTATATCCCGCACCGCAGCTGCCCGTGGGTGCACGTCTGAATGCCCCATCCATGCGAGTCAGCAAAGCATATATAGTTCCTAAAAGCACACAATTTTTAGACATAGGCACACGTATGGGATTAGGGGCATGCAAAGAATTACAACTTTACTGTTTCTTCATTGTCTAGTCATTTCTTTAAAACATATAGGCCTATACAACATTTTGGGCACATTAAAGGCTACAGTAGTGTGACTTTAGTGTCTCCGTCTGTGTGCTTGTTGTGTTTATGACCACACCCATTTATTTTGTCCTGTTGAGCTTGTGTGTTATTGTTGTGTCAGGTTGCTTACGTTTTAAAAAAGCATTTAGTTATAATTGTAGTCTATACGCGTTTATTTTGCTTTTAATAGAACTTTGAAACGAACATACTTTTGAAAATGGTGTAGTTATATATTGTCAAGGGAAACTTCATTAGTGAATAACTTAAGAATCTAAATATTTGTATCTATTTAAGCTATTAACAGAGGACATAATTATACACACTATACAATTGACATTGGTCGAAAGTGAAGTTACGAATTGGATGAAAAACATTAACACATTGTTCAATTGAATTAAAACATTTTATTTGCATCCATTGCAAAACAGAAAATCAAGGAAATATGAAAGAAAACGGCTCAGAAACACAATGAAATCTACTTTTCAAGTGTACTATAAAAGCTACATGATTGCAACACATCACAATAAAAAAACGTTGTAAATAAAATTAAAAGTTGCCGTTTGGACAAATCACAAATGTATTTGCCAATATAAAGAAACATAAATTAATTATAAGTTAGAATAGACTTAAAAAAAATATAGCCTATATTTACACAACCCAGATATATTTAACAGAAATAAACACGTACAATATGTCTTTATAAAGCTATACACTTTTGACCAGTGTAGACAATTTAAAGTAATTTACGATTGCACAGTTGTTAAATATTTAACACTGTCAAGTGGCTGTATGCAAAGCAACCATGAATGCTACATTTTGTCTGAGTCCTTCTGCGGATTCCCTCTGCCGACCCAATTCAATCCTGAGAGCCCATCGAGTATAGGCCTACTGTCCTTATAGATCCACTTGGAGACGCACTAAAGTCCCATCGAGTATAGGCCTACTGTCCTTATCCACTTGGAGACACACTAAAGTCCCATCGAGTATAGGCCTACTGTCCTTATAATAAATCCACTTGGAGACGCACTGAAGTCCACGGACTGTCGAGAGGCGCATCTACGCCCCTTGTTTCCATTCTCCGTCTTCCCAAGTCCGACTGTAGGGCAAACGGTGATCCCAAAATAGTGCAACTCCTAAAATAAAAAAATATATTAGTGTTATAAATATATATAAATAAGTAGAATCATATTAAAACTAAAATTAAAAACACACGTCGGCTCTCCCATAATCTGAGCAGTCGTCCCCATTGGCCGGACCCTTTTCCCGCCACAGTAGTGACGCAGATCCCCCCTCCCCCAACCACAAATGACTCCACTACAAGAATAGATCACTATCTGCTTCCACAATCAGTGCAATCAGTGTGTATTTGTGATTATGATTATGCTTTACCATTAACGGGATAACAATGTGTGCGCAATTACGCACAATGCACTATTGCTCTAACTATTATTAGATTATGCGCACATTACCGACATGACACAGCCTTATATATATAAGTTATATATATATATATATATGTTTATCTGACTACATGCAATAGGGAACATACCTTCAGCGGATCCTCTTGCGTGGAGTCTGTTCTAAGGAGACCGGGGACGAGGGATGCTGGAAGGAACCTTCATTCATCTTGTTTTCGGTCGTGGTCGTCCTTTTTCGTTTTGCGTAGAAGTCTGGAAATAAAGGACATGTTAAAAAACCTATAGCGCAAGATGGCACACAAATATTGCTATTGGCCACACATGTTAAGATGCACAAATACACAACACATGTTGACAGATCATATTACCTGTAATGTGTGTGGTTGTTGTCGCATCAGTGGTAGGCGTTTTTCTGCGTCTGACGCAGGGCACTGGCACCCGAGTAGGCGTCCCTGAGTTGAGCTTCACAGCGCAGTTCTCCTGGTTGATGACCTCCGTGGCGCAGGGAGTCCTACTATCAGTGCTGCCTAAACGATCCTCACAAATAGGCAATGCATCCTGAGCAGTGGGTTCTGCGGGGATAAAGTCCACGTTAACCGTTGCTATAACACTCCTGGTCCTCCCAGTCTGTACGGAGTCCCGGTAGAAGACGGGGGTCGTGTCCACGCGGGCCTCCTCCCACTCGTAGTCCCCGGACAGTGGCACGTCGGCCTCGAAATTAAAGTTCCACACCCGCTGATCCCTGTCGGAGATCTCCCGCATCTTCGATCGCATCTCCCGGTTCAGTTCGTCGTGATCGACCGGTCCGAACAGGGCACGGCAGGCGCCGGTGCGCCCGTGGAGAGGGAGCGTCCTCCCCGCCGCCAACCTCTCCAGAGCGCCGCACGAAAGCTGCACGTTGGACATTGTCTTTAATACAAAAATCCACCAAGAAGGAAAAAATAGCTACAAACAGACGCGAACGAAATACAAATCCCCGAATTGGTTGATTGTCCTTGAATAATGTGTTTTGCGTGTGCCCAAGTGTTACTGTCGCGTCCACACACACACACCGGCACGTTTAAAAGTACCGGAGTAACGCGCAACACCGTTTTAAAGTCCCCAGCGGTTGTGTGCTTTTTTCTAAGCAGTTCGCCCAAAGCACCTATTGGTTGTTTTACGGCCAACCCCCTTTACGCAAACCACGCCTCCATGCCCACTTTTGATTGGCTAATATGACGTTGGGACATACGCCAGTGATGCATTTTGATTTGTATTTGTTTGTTATAGTCAATGTTTTATATTTAAAATCAATTTATTTTAATACAGCACATGTTGTCCTGTGTTTTGTTGATGCAGACAACCAAATATAGGCTATTCAAATAAATTGTGACATTTAACGTTTTGTCAGAGCTGTCTCGTTTACAAGTAACACCATACATTTGGTAAAACACCAAATAAAATGTTTTGATACTTAACTAAGTAGGTGATAACAATTAATAAAGGGAATAGTAAACATAAAAACAGTTATTATATATTAAAAATATATTTCACTTGATGTACACGTGTATTTTTAATGTTTAAATGTATTTTGTTTATTCGTTTGCTTTTGATGATATAGTTATCATAGTGTTCATTAACATGATTTGTAAATTATTTACAAAACAATATTCTCCAAGGATAATATTTTTATGTGGAAATATCGACGTCGTTGCTCGGTTTGTTTTTATTAATTCTACAGATAACCTTCTCTCTTTTAAGGAAATAGATACCCAATGAAATGCACGAAAATGCATTTTTTGTTGCATTGTGAAGGGCTACTCTGATTTAAAGGCAATGGATTTGGCTAGTTGAATTGAGAAGAATGGGATTTTTCGGACACTTCTATTTGCTATGCTGTAGTGCCCCCTTGTGACATTTAATGGTTATTGCATGTTGGACACTTTTATTTGCTATGCCGCAGGGCCGCCATGTGGCATTTAATGATTAATGCATTTTGGACCTTGGTAACACCGATTACTTTTTTCCAAGTCCCTACAGTGTAATAGCAGCCCAGCAATGGCAGCCCAGCAATGGTATCTGAACCTTTTAATTACATCAACTCGTAGTCATCCAATATTTATTCGTTAAGTTGTTTGCCATTATTATTTATTACGTTTTTTGTTGCAATTCTGTCTCTCACTATTTAAATAAACCTCTCATCTCATCTTCAACCGCTTATCCGGGGTCGGGTCGCGGGGGTAGCAGCTCTAGCAGGGGACCCCAAACTTCCCTTTCCCGGGCAACATTAGCCAGCTCTGACTGGGGAATCCTGAGGCGTTCCCAGGCCAGTGTGGAGATATAATCTCTCCACCTAGTCCTGGGTCTTCCCCGAGGTCTCCTCCCAGCTGGACGTGCCTGGAACACCTCTCTAGGGAGGCGCCCAGGTGGCATTCGTACTAGATGCCCGAACCACCTCAACTGGCTCCTTTCTACGAAAAGGAGCAGCGGCTCTACTCCGAGTTCCTCTCGGATGACTGAGCTTCTCACCCTATCCCTAAGGGAGAGGCCAGCCACCTTTCTGAGAAAACCCATTCCGGCCGCTTGTACCCGCGATCTTGTTCTTTCGGTCATGACCCAGCTTTCATGACTATAGGTGAGAGTAGGAACAAAGATTGACCGGTAGATGGAGAGCTTTGCCTCAGCTCTCTTTTCGTCACAACGGTGCGGTGAAGCGAATGCAACACCGCCCCCGCTGCTCCGATCCTCCGACCAATCTCCCGCTCCATTGTTCCCTCACTCGCGAACAAGACCCCGAGGTACTTGAACTCCTTCACTTGGAGTAAGGCCTCATTCCCTACCCTCAAATAAACCTATCATTAAAATTATAGACTGATCATGTCTTTGACATAGGACAAATGTACAAAATCAGACCCCGGAGTGGGGACCTAGTGTTCACCCACCTTTTCAAGAACGAAATCTTAAATTTCTTTGAGTGAAGAAGTACATTAAAATCAACTTGGTTGATTGTTGGTTGGTGATTGAGGAGGCCATGGAGACATTTGACATCCTCCTGGTATTCATAAAACCACTCTGGAATTGGTATAGCAGTGCATATGGGGGTCATTATCATTCTGGAATATTGGAAAATCATGCGGACACTGTGTTAAGGTCGCTCCTGGCCCTGTAAAATGGTCCATATTCCAACCCTATATCACAACAATGACGTTCCCTGGGAACCATTGTAGAAACACGAGATTACGTTACTAGTAAAACGTAATTAAGACGTAAAAAGCAAAGAATCACATCATGCAAGTGGAATCGAACCACTGCTAAAGGCTCAGGAGACCAGAGCTCTACCCACTGTACCACCCTGCACACTTCTTACGGTGGCAAAACACAATTTACCATATTTAGAGACATTATACCACCATGCAGAGCAATCATTGGACCCATGACATGGGGGGTGACCTGTAAAAATATGTTATGTGATTATGAGTGGGTGTCTCATTTAATAAATCCATTGAATATAGACTCTAACAAAGTAATTCAATATTAATTGATATTATTCAAATTAATAGAAAACTATTTAGGAAAAAGACATAAAGACAGAAGTCGGACAAAAGGATAGCATAATTTGAGTCTAATATAACTGGACAGTTTTTGAGGCTGATGTCAAGTTTGGGGGGGCTGAAGAAACATTATTTTCATGTCATTCCGGACTGATTTCTAGCCAACATTTAGCTGAGAAACATTCAGTCTGCTTTATACTGAGACAAACACACTTTATACTGAGACAATTTGCTTGCTAAAAGCAGTGTCGATAACCTCCCCCAAACACACAGAAATACATATTGCACCTCTTTACAAATACAAAGGACATTTTCAACCATCATTAGCATGATGGTTGGTTATTATGTATACCCACTTCTTAACCACATTATGACAGGATTATTTATAGGGTGTGGTAACACTAGAATGATTGAAACAATCATATAATTCTGTAATAAAGAACTGCAGGGCCATAGGTCTTCAAAAAGCCTATGTGAGCCTGACCAATCCCACTGACTCCTGGATGGGTCAGACAAATAAAGTAAATCAATCAAACAAACAAACTAGAAACATGGTTGATCATTGGTTAGTATTTGCGGTTGTACCCTGTGAGCTCTTCAGTTTAGTTTGGCAACAGGTAAAGCAGCTATGGACAACAGACATGCATGCAGACAGACAAATGACAGATAGACAGAAAATCCCATAGTACTTTTTTAACATTGAACTTAAAATATGTTGTCTGAAAAATAAAATTGGGCATTTTTTATATTGGCCCCATACGTAATTTTTTTAAATGTCATATTTTAACTTCAATCTTCATTAAGGCTTTTTATACCACTTTTTATACCGCATTGATGTGACAAGTGAAAGTGGTGGTGTGCAGAAGTCCACTTCTCAACATCGTTATTAGAGGATTATTTCCAGTCACCTGAACGACCATATTTTATATAACAACTATGACTGAAACCGGGATACATTTCAGTGATGAAAGAGGAGTAAGCAGATCAGGAAGACAATATATATATATATAAGATAACGTGAGTGTTCTGAATTATGAAAACCAATACAAGGATATGATCTCAAAATAGAAATATGCTAAACAGAAAGTCACAGAGAAAAGCAAGTTAACAGTGAACTATGTTGACAAAGCCAAGCAGGGAAGCAGATTGGATTACATAGAGAACCATTAACATATGAAAGAAGCCGATATTTATAGGATAAATAGGGGAAAAGGGGTCTTTGAAGCTCCTGTAGTGCACACACACACACACACACACACACACACACACACACACACACACACACACACACACACACACACACACACACACACACACACACACACACAGTTCAAAATCGTGACAGACTTGCTCTTTACCATTTCATATGTTTTTACAGTTTTTTTTAAGGTGTACATTTTCAAAACTCTTAGTACAAAGATCCAAACTGATCATACTTGTAACGCAGCTAGTCATTCTTTCAAAACCTGATTCAATGCTTTCAGTCAGTTGCACATGGTTTCAGTACACATAATCATTATTTCAAACACAAGATTATTGTAATATGTAATGGGAACATTTGGTTTAATCACCGAAACACAACAGTATGATCTTCTTTCAGTTTAGTACTTTTACAGTTTTTAGCAATCCCTTTGACCATTATCTCAGAACCTTAATGTCATTTTCCACAACTCTAGACACAAAACTCACAACATTTAACACTTGTGACACAGGCTCTCCAATGTTCAAGACATTGCATTGTGCATTCATATCTTTAAAGATACCTTGCATTTGCACAATCAATGGTTCAAACAATAGATTTATCATGGAATACCATGGGTACATTGATTTAGATCACCCAGACAAAAGATACCCATAGTTTCACTAGTTAGTTGTTTGTCCAATCATTAGATATTGGTGTACAAAATTGATGATACATGTTACATTATGGTACTACAAGCAAATTAATCCCTGTAAATGTACTTCTGTGGTAAAGAGAATAGTACAAACACAGTGGAATCATTGAACAAAATGTGAAATGTATTACTGTAATGAAATAGAATACAATCACAACATATGTTTATTTGAATCAAAGCAAAAATACCGTAATTTGCTATGAAATAGAAAAATAGATTACTGTACTTCTACATTGTCATCAACTCTGTGTTGTGGATTTGGCCACTGGTTCTCATCTACATCTCATTGGATGTTTTCATTAGCCAAACATCTTGTTTGTTTTTTTTTGCCTGAATTTCATTCGACACTCTATATGCTGTTGCTGCCGCTGTCTTGGTCCGTGGCCTTGTCCTCTACCACGTTCCCCCACACCTCTCAAACGAGGCCCACGACCACCTCTCAGAAAGTTTGCCTGCCATGCCATTCCCTTGACCAACACGTCTTCCTCGTCTTTCTCGTCTTCCTGCCACCACTGCTTGACCTCCATTGTGACCTGGATCACCTGCTGGCTCCATGTTACGAATCACTATACTCTTGCAATTGGATCCAAATCAACTCTTTATGTATATACTCATTCCACAATGTGCACTAAATCATCATTAACTGGTTGGCTGAATTGGACAAGCAATTACAAGGGCCTGCATCTATACAGTGCAGTACTGTCAGTACTGTAAATAGTCTGAAAAGGTTGTGCAGTATTTGGGACCATAGACACAGTGTATGTTGAAGCATTACAGTATGATAAAATATTAGGCTACATCCATGGATATTGTAGTCTAATTGGTTCATGCTCCACGCTAATTGGTGACAATAAATCTCAGTATCTTGAATCTTTCATGATTTACTGTAAACGTGGAATATTGTTTGTCCGTTTCCATAAAACTATGCATTAAGAGTAATGCAGCAAATACTTATCATTTTGACTAGTTGTATCAATTGATAGTTAGATCTGTAGAATGAAATGAACAGACTATCATTTCAAACGTAATGTAGGAATCGCATTTTGAAATAGTAGTACTTTGATGTTACATTGTATCATATTGAACCGGTGATAAAAGTTAAATGAACAAATGATCTTCAGTTTAGGTGTATTGTATCCAAGCAATTGAAAAAACGTGTTAGAGTTTTGAGAAAAGTGCATTTTGATCTTCGGTTGTGAGTTTTGTGTCTAGAGTTGTGGAAAATGACATTAAGGTTCTGAGATAATGGTCAAAGGGATCGCTAAAAACTGTAACAATCTGTTCATCCAACAGCAAACAATGTAAGATACATGGTTCAAATCGTCCTTAGAAGTGCTGAAATTAATATGCTACAGTACTATACTATAAAAGATAGATTACACAGTTTCACATTAGGCGATACACACTACACATTACATTACTTACATTTACATAAGCTATAATTTACATAATATCCATCCTATGTGTAATCAAGTGAAGGATCAATGAAGACATCCTCTAGAATCAGTTGGGCAAATTAGTTTTTACGTATTTTTCAAATATAATTGTTACATAGGTATAATTTCTATTATGTAACTAAATGAGAACAAAACATAACATTTTTGTTAGGGCACACATTACATTGCATGTAAATTGGATCGAGCCTGTCTTGAGCATTTGGCCATAGATTCTCATCCACATCTCATTTCAGTAAAATCAATTAGCAATAACGAGTATTCATCATGTGTGGTTAATTTATATGTTCGTACAAAACACATTTTATTTCTGTAGTTCTCAAAATCGAAGTACTGTTTATTGCTGAAATGTAAATATATAGGTTTACCAAACAGTTCAGTGATTACCATTAAGATCAGTTGGATTAAGTGTTGGTCAAATGTATTTACGCAAATGAGATGAGAAGCATATCAAAAGTATTGTGAGCATTGAATTGTGAAAGACAATTACTTCATGTGAAAAAGTGATTGTGTAATTTTGTGCATTGTACTTAGTCAATTGAACATGTGATTACATGTTTGAAAAAACAGACTTTTTGATGATCTGCTTTGAGTTTTGTACTAACAGTTGTGAGGTTTTACCACATACTTGTGAAAATAGTACAAAAGCGAATAAAAAAACCGTATAACAGTATAACTCTTTTGAAGATTTTATAAAGAACCATGAAACCATGATTTTTTTTACAATCTATAAAGCAACGATTTTATAGATTATTTTTTCATGAATTTCATTTTTTATTGGAAAGAATGTGATTAAACTGTCTTTTGTTGAAATTGCAGGAGGTTGGATTAACAATGCAGCACTGCACCAGAGGAACTGACTTAGAGAGAAAATGCAATTTTTTCAATACGGGTCAGGATAGGTGGAGGTCATTTACACAAAATAAATCAATCACAAAATGATTAATGTGCTGTTGAAATGTGTAAGCCATCAATCAGTCAGTCAATCAATCAATTAAATGTATTTTATAAAGCCCTTTTCAAAATAAAGTTGTCACTAAGTGCTTTTACAAAAGCACTATGTCAAGGCATGCCCAGGCTAAAAAAAAATGTTTAGAACTAGTGCTATAAATAAACATAAAAATATGTTGACATAACACCTACCAAATGTATTTCTTTTCCTGGGAAAAAAGTAATTGAATTCTATTCAATAAAATAATTACATTTGCTCAAAGAAACCACACAATCCTGTGTAGTTCAATTGGTAAAACATGGTTTTGCAATGCCATGGCTAATGGTTCAAATCCCCCAGAGGACCTGTATGAAAATGCATGCACTCTAAAATGCAAGTTGCTCTGGATAATAGCATTTCCTAAATGCTTCAAATGCACATGTATAGATGGTCCTCAACAATGTTAATGTATGAATAAGAACCCAACACAAGGAAACTGGGTGTAAGCAATTGGGTTTGCTTTCTGTGTCAAAGGCCTCCCTATGACCAATGATAATTAAAAATATTGCATCCTAATCAAAACCCCAATTTATCATTTGTTTGTTACCCATGTCTTCATGTTAGTACAAAAATGTCTGGGTCTGCATGGCATGGCTCGAAACAAATATTGCTGAAGTGTCTAGGTCCAATCAGTTGTTGAATATTGATCTGACCATCCATTAGCCTATTATAAATTATTAACTATTTGACATTAAGAGAATAGCCAAAAGCAGAACAGATTGTGCTTAACGAGCCTTGTCTCTACATATCCAGCTCAAAAATGTTTGTTGGAATGCACACAAAAGCAGATACAGGTCAAACACTTTATTGATATTTCCCATAAGATTGCTGTCAGTTATTCAATATTCTGTCTGGTGAAAATTTTTCATCAAATACATTCTGTTTAAGCCTTTTGGAGAAGCCTTCAAACAATCTTTGTTTTTGGGAAATTTCTTTGAATGAGAATATACATTTTCCTCAACTTGCTGTGTTATGGTGAATCAATAATTTAATGTATGGACAGCAACCACGGCAGACATGATAACTTTAGTGATTGCTGTCCATACATTAAATAGAAATAATTCAGTTGTGTTAGAATGTAAAAAACACAATGTCTAAATCATTCAAAATGTAAAGGAGATTTGGACGAATACTAGTAAAACCAGTAATACTATTTGTTGTCGTTGTTTGTGTTTCTGAGGTTTAAAATGTAAGAAAACTGATTCATTGGAAACAGTTTAGTTTGGGACGTTAACTACCTTACAAAATGTGCAAATAAGAGTCAATTCTCCTTTAATACTTTAGGCCTACTTCACATGCTCTGATAGTATTGACACTGATTGAGTGTAGAACAGACAGACTGATTATGTTCAGGCAACTGAGTACACAGGAATTTAGACAATTAAGGGTAAGTTACATTTATTCTAGGCTCCTCAGTAAATTGTTAGCCACATTTCAAAATGTTCAAAAGCCAAACCATGGGCATTGGGATTTATCAGGTCATATATTTTCTTATTTACTTCAGATATTAGAATATTAGGTTAGTTATCCATTAGCAAGACGATGACGTAAAGCACATGTTTGGTGACGCAAGAGGATTGTGTGTATGCTGATTAACACGGAAGTGACGACACGATTTGCCGTGTGTATGCTGATCAACACGGAAGTGACGACACGACTGGCCATCACAACATGTTCCTTGCGTCGCGTCTGCTGAAGTCATTTTACATGTCGGTGACTGCAGGAGCTCGTCCTCTAGCGAGAATATTATGAGCACAATTCAAAGATGAACCAGTTTATATGATTAACCGGTCTTTCTCAAGACATCTTTTTGCTAATTTCACAACGATCACGCTGTTTTTTTGTGTTATAAATGATACCACGTGTGTCCGCTAATGCAGCCAGTCCTCTATTCTGGGTTGGATTAGGTCGCTGTAGGTTTAGGGAACGGGTTTACGGAGTCTGGTTCAGTAGGTTATTTGTGCATGATGATATATATATATATAGCTAGACAGTTACCGACTGATACATAGTTGCATCAGTTCAAAGTCAGACTGTTTTTTTTTGTTTTTTTTTTACAGTGCTATAACATTTGAAACATATTGGACACGAATAACTGGTAAGTTGCTTTGATTTGTGGCAGGCGAAAACTGTGAAGCTGGCTGTTGTTGTTATGTTGTAATGTGTCAATAGTTTAGTGTTGACCCAACTGAAACATTGGTAGTGTAGCATTAATATATATATGCGTTGATATAACCTTGTAAATATTGTAACGAAGTATAACATCACATGCTGATCACTTTGATGCGACCTGTCTAGTAGCAACGAGGCCAAGTCGTCTACCAGATCACGTTGTAATGACATGTCATGGGTTGTCTAATGACATGTTATCGCGTTGTCTAACACTGAACATCTCCCAAGGTGACATTCGGGGAGGGGAATATGAATCAATTAGTCGCGCGTGCTCGCCGACATGCGTGGGATAACCGCGATATGTTGCGACACTGCTCATGCTATGTCGCGACACTGCTCATCTTCGAACAGGATTGGTTGCTATAATAGCATAGGTATTCAGCATTTACAGACTGTCTGCATCCCAAAATTCATTAAGTGACATTGCTTTGTGCACTATATTGTATTGATGACCTACAACAATAAGTAGCATTGTAAGCCTGCCACTTTTTTCCAATGCCCTTTTGTTTTTTTTTGCATTCAAAATGAAGGACTTTACTATATTAATATTCCCGTATTCCGAGGTAGTCGTGTTATTTTAGATTTTTTTTATCCCTGGTTGTTGCTATCAAGACCCAAAACAAACCCCACTGGATGTACGCAGGTTTGTAAAATGCATGAGCGTACATTTTAAGCAGTATTTAGGTTGATGCACTTCTCATCCGTGTTAATCGTTTCAACAACCCTAAACCAGTCTGACTGTCCTCTTGTTAACAGTGACAACAATATGAACTGCTACTCAGAACTGTCATGTAACATTGAATTTGTTAAAAATGAAAAATGTCTTCTGGTTCATCAGATATCTCTAAATGTATTTGGACACAGTTTATTCAGGAAAACCCAGAAAAGTTCTGTTTTGCTGTAATCACAATCTAATCATTGAAAGTTCTCTTGGTTGGAACGTTGAGCTCCATCCATTGGTTTGTTATGTAGAGGCCTGAAAATCTGTTATTACGCATTTAACACTTTGGTAAGTCTAGTCCTCCAAATCAAAAATGACAAGCAGCGTAAGCGGCTTTCATAACTTCCTTGACAAAAAAATTGTATGAATTTGTGTGTTTTTTCTGATATAATAATGTTTTAAAAGGTAAAAGTTCTAATTGCAGCTTTGTAGGTCTGCCTTTAAGGGAGACATCAGCTGATTTTTTGTGTGTATTTTTTAGGTACCAACTGCTGTCGATGGCAGATCCCTTTATTATACTATAATACTGCTATTGATTGCAGATCTCTCTATTATACTACTATTATATTGTAATACTGCTTTAATAGACTGGATGCTTCGCAAAACTGACCTTTATGGGAGAGTGGAAGGAAATTCTGTGGTCTGATGTGCCCAAAATAGGGCTATTTGGCCTAAATGTTAAGAGCTATGTTTGGCAAAAGCCTAACCCAACACATTCTCCTGAGAAAACCATCTCTGTCGTAACAGTGTTAGACAGCATCAGAGGATATGGGGAAGCTTTTTTGTGTTGGGGCAGGGAAATAAATGCAGCAAGGTAAAGCCCCGATCTGGAGTTGTTGTTGTAAAAGGCTTTGCTATCATGAATTTGTCTCTCACTTTAATCATTTATATAGAATCACAACAGGAAACTTATTTGACTTCAATTTAAAACATGCACGAAGTAAACCTAATCTACTCTTAAGTACATGGGTTTTACAAAAAGCCCACTTCAGATTTGTTGATATAATAATATTTATATGTTTAACAATACAAACATAAAAACAATCTTTAATCTGCTGGCTCTCAATAGCTCTTTTCATTTTGTCTCCTTTCCTATCCTATGGCCTGTAAATGGCATATCAAATAGGTGTGACCAGCCTTTTGGCTTTGCTGTCAACCCTGAGAAAGTTGGCAAAGCTAAGAAAGATGTCTTCTTTGGAATGTAGCCAAAAAACGATTTGAGAACAAAATCAAAACTATATTGAAAATTACTTGTCACCACTTCATCTTTCAAAATGTGTTGTCTTTTTGTAGGTGTCCCTAGCCTATGCGATGCTGTTGGCATTTGAAAATGGTCAACATTTTTGGTCTAGCCAATTGGTTAAAAGTGCTGATGTTTTTATGAAGAGGGTTCAATACTAATGTTCTAAGGATAGTTAATGAGTACATTTCAGGACTTGCACAACAATAACATTAATTCACTTTAATCACATTTTGGGTAGTTTGATAACATTTTTAAAAACACATTTTAACACGATTCAGTTTTTTGTGGAGTCACCTAAAACTAGGGAGGCATTGAGGTCAATATTGGGCCAATTCTCTGCACCAATACCACCTCAAGGCAGCATTAGGTGAAACTCAATGGTTGTTCTGTTCTCATGCAGGAATTTTTACAACTTACCCGTTTAACAGTATATGCGACCACTGCTAGGCTAGGAGTATCCATGCAAAGCTTTGTATATTCTGCCTGATTAAACGGTTACAATGAGACCAGCTTGGAGTCTGTGCGATCTAAGGTCTGTATGCAGTAGCCATTACGTTGTTCGTAGAATTATTTAATCAAGATATATTTTACTTTAATCATGTTCACTTGTGATTTCGTTTCGTTATCATAATACACTACAATTTTACATTCCTTTAAATTAAATGAAAGACATAAATAATGTATTTACTGCAATAACAAGTTTAAAGAAGATTGTTTGTAACTAAAATTATAGGACACACTTAAAAGGGAATTGGTCCTCCAAACCAATATATTTTGCCTTCAGTAGATTGGAATGCAATAGATATTGTTATTATCATATAATAAAACATTAGAATCCAACTATCACTACTTCATCTCCTTTTGGATGTCTCTGCACTGATTTAATTATATTTTCAATCAATTGTCCTATCAATCCATATTTGCATACCTAAAAGCTTTATTAAAAGATGGCCTTATTGTGTATTTTTGTGAGTTGATGATCAATGCCATTACACACAACTGACAATAAGGCATATTTCAAAATGGGGCAACTTCCTTGTGTTGAGTTAGGAAACTGTTTTCAAGAGATTTGGCAGAATGAAAATACGCAGAAGTCGGCCTCTTGTGCCTACTGGCTAATTAGCACAAATTGTTGTGTTTTACCTGGTACCATTTTCTGTGGAAGTAGA